ATCACCTGTACCATGTGCCGATGGGTATTACAGTAAAGGAGGGGCTACTGAGTGTATACTCTGCCCTGAGGGTCACAGGTAACATCAGCTTCATTATCTTATCACTTTAATTCATATTTGATATTTTAGCACAATTTCCCATACAAATCCCAATAAAACATTCAACTTTATATCTAGAATCATTTCTTTTGTGTCACATTTTATGAACTGAAATTTCATCTCCTTTAATATCTCTCCATAATTCCATATCTGGAGTTCATATTGACAATATTTTGGTTTGAGCACAGAGAGGGAACCCCAGCTTTCTTTTGTTTGAGGGTGTTATGTTTCCTTTGGTTTGAGATCAACTTCCTATGGTTTGAGATTGGTTTACAGTTCCATAAGTTTTAATCAGATCTGCACTGTAAATTGATAGGCTATTAAATTCTAACCAATAACTGTTGGTAACAGTCAAAACACTGCTCATTAGAAGGTGCGTTTCACACCATAGGCAATCGATAAAGAGCAAAGTTACCCTTCTAAAAGAATCAAATGAAAGAAAGCCAGGTTCCCTGTGATTTGAGGGGGTAGGGTCATGTGATCACTCACAGATGTTGGGCCAAATATTCATTTGACTCCCCATTGTCTAATTCTTTTGAATTTGTTCGTAAATCCATTGAAACATTTCAGTTAAGCAGAATAAATCACTCTAAAACGTCATTCTTTGTAGCTGTAACATAACGTCTAATGATCCAGTACCATGCAAACCAGGAAGTTACGCTCCATCAGGTCACATGGCATGTCAGTCTTGTCCAATAGGCTCATACTGTCCAACATCAAAACTGTCACAACACATCCCATGTGTTAATGGTACCACTGCATTATCAAAGAATCAAACATCATGTGATCCATGTCCTGCTGGCAGTAAATGTATTGATGCCACACAATCACCTATACCATGTGCCGATGGGTATTACAGTAAAGGAGGGGCTACTGAGTGTATACTCTGCCCTGAGGGTCACAGGTAACATAAGCTTCATTATTATTCCATTTTTTTGTTTTCAAAAAATATTACTTTTCCTTCTGGAAATATTGACCTTCATGGAGATAACCAAATTAAAGAATTAATTTTGTGAAGAACACAACTTGTACACATTGTATGCTACTGTACAATGGAACTCACTCTTCCAAAATTATAATGCATGCAGAATACATGCAGAAGAGCATGCATACGAGTGGCATGCATGAAATTTTATGCATGCTAATATGCTTGCAATTTGACACTTAGCTTGCGGCAATCACACACACACACACCTTGCTATTATATGCATGTAGCAGGGATTGCATGCATGCAACCAACATGTCATGCACCATGTCATAAAGAGCTGAATTGTGCTAAACAACACCTTAATGTCATTAATTCATTAGTCACATTTTAAGCTAACTCAGCTGTTATGTCTGAGTTGTAATTTCAATAAGGTGGAAGTTTAGAAAGTCAGCATTTCATATTTATTTAAATGTGCGTGATATGAGCAATTGTAAAAAATGCTTGCTGCTAAAGAAAACGTGTTGTGTTTATTGGGAAATGAGCTTGGAGTTTGAGAATAACACAAAGAATATTGCAACATTTTGTTACCAAATCCATTCATTAATCCATCATAATTAAGCAGAATAAATAAAACTTCATTCTTTGCAGTTGTAACATTAAGTCCAATGATCCAGTACCATGCCAACCAGGAAGTTACACTCCATCAGGTCACATGGCATGTCAGTCTTGTCCAATAGGCTCATACTGCCCAACATCAAAACTGTCACAACACATCCCATGTGTTAATGGTACCACTGCATTATCAAAGA